CAAATGGATTTTGAACTCATTTGAACTTTGAATCAAGACCAATCATCCCAAAAATAAATATGCAGCGGCATGAATGCACATACATGTTGCTACTTTGCGATAAATTTTAAATTCATAAGAAATTTATTTATTGATTTATTTTTCTACATTTCATGAGCACAAAATACATAATTAAATCGTTTAAACCTATTTTCCAAAAGAGGCAAATTTTAGGGTGTTACACCCACTCTTCTCTGGCGGTGTCATCAATGCGCCTAGGGTCGGTTTTAGTTGGTTTCCTATTTTATCTCTCCCAAACCGACCACAAACTAGTATAAAAAGAGGAGTGAAGCTCTCCCCCAACACACACCATTTGGAGCCTCTACACCTCACACCACTCTTGTATTCTTTTACACTTTTGTAGTCTTTCTGAGCAAGGAGAGAGCTACCTTGGAGAGCTTGGCTCCTTGGAAGAAAGGAATCTTGGTATGAATAATATGAAGAATTCTTTCAAAGTCTTGCTCTCATTTTATCAATATAGTTGTGCTATTGAACTAGAGTATAGTTTTCATGTTATGATCTTGACATATGAACTAGCATATAGTTTCTATGTTATGAGCTTAACATGTAGAACATTTTGCTTAATCATCTATATAACTTATATGATTAGAATTAGAGCTATGTTGTTGTGGCGGTTCATCGTGCCTTCAGGTGTGCCCAAGTCTTTTACTTGTCGATTCATAGGGTCAGAGTCCCAGGGAGACTTGGGTAGTTTCTGTGTAATCGGGCGTGGTGCCCAGGTACATAGAAATAGGAGAATGCATTTCCTACTCCATTGTTGAGGGGTAGACGACAAGTGTGATAGCCCTCTCCGTCCCTTGTAATCCCCCATGTTCGGGTAGGGTGTAGGAGTCTAAATTGTCACATGTGGTTGCTGGCAGACCAGTACTCAGTGGCCTCCCGACCCAACTCATACCTAGCTTTAGCTCTAACCATGTAATTTGTATAATCATCAACTATTCTTTGCATGGCTATATTAGAACAAGCCTGCTCCACTTAGGAACATTCTTTTATTCTTTGTTTTTCCTTTATCCTTGAGGTTGGCCCAAGTGTGTGTCCACTATCCTGAATATACCATGTTTACCCCTATCATAAACCTTGGTTCACTTTTCAAGCATGTAATCTTGTTCATATCTATACTAGAATCTTTTACACCATGCCTTCCTTTGGGAAAATATAGATAACGATACCCTGAATACTTTTAGGTGAAATGCTACAATGATAGATCCGTGCGCTTACGGATATTTTCTGTAATCGTTAAGAACTATCGTGTTGGTGTTTCTTGGTGGTGTCACTAAGGTTTACTAAATCTTAGTGATGGTGCTAAGAAATACCAATAGGCATTTCTGGCACTGTTGCTGGGGATGGATCTTATCTCTATACTTGGTGATAGCACTAAAAATACCAACCGTGTTGCAACAGAACACTCGGGGGCTACACACATGAAACAATACTTGTTACAAAAGCAAAAGTGCAATCTCAAACCGATGATCCACCTTACTCGAATAGGGGGAACAAATCAGGACCCCGTCGGGTGTTGTGCTGCTTCAACACTCTGAGCGGTGGTGCTAGTTAAGGCTAGGCCATGTCCCCACAACCTTCGAGGGGACGTCTTCCGAGAAAAATGCATGGGGAAATGAGCCGCCGAAATCGATGCCTCAGCTTCACCGAGAAGGAATCCATCCGAGCAACCACGGGAACCGTGGGGCCTAATGGGCCAAAACCCGACGTACCATCACCCAAGCCAGTGCAGGCAAGTGATCTAACACTCAGATCGAGTACTCGGCCCAGCTCACCCCTACAGCAGGTGTAAGCGGTAGCAATTCGTTCACTATCGACCCTGCCCCTACTAGAGTCAGGGGGTATTCGGGAGGGTCACCAGTATGACCCTAAAACCTCTGACCCTCGGTGTCATGTAAATCTCCCAATGCCCGGACGAGCTCGAAGTATCTTATTTCAGCGGATGTGTGTCCCTTTGTGGGAAACCAGAAAACTGGTTGGCCCATGGCTATAACCAAAGTACGAGCTCCTGGAATCTAAAAAAAGAGTTTTATGATGTGCCCCCACTGGTCAGGATTTGTCCTGCCACCCCTATTCATTAGGATGCGGACATTCACTCGTTCTACCCGTTACCAGCTGAAGACTAACATGCGCAACTGCCCACAACTGCCCACGCGTTCCTTATTCGCCTACAGTATTTCCCAACCTGGGATGCTGTTATATTGGCCTCAGGGCTCCGACACAATGACCTCTCTCTTTCCACTAATGAGGCCCACGAAAATTTGAGATCATGTTACTTAACGGGTCTTGAAGAAAAATGTGACGCCCTTAGTGTTTGTTAACAAACGACCCAAATCGGGTCACCCAAAAACTAACTAACATAGTGACGCGCGAGTGACGGCGGTGCAACTACCCCGTCCTCATTGTTGTTCTACAACTAGGACTTATGATGCACAACCACTAACTATACGTCGGAATACATCGGGAACCGACTTCTCGAGTGCAGCGGTGTCTTCACCCAAATATGGCGCCTACGGACGCCCTAGAGGCTATGCCTCCGGTTATCGGGTGCCACCACCCGAACGTGGCGTTGACAACATTCCGAGGGCTACGCCTAGTAAACTACGTTTCTCGATATAGGGTGTACCACCCGAGCAAGGCGCTCACAGTGGCTAGGGAGCTATGTTCCCTGATGTACGGTGTACCGTCGCCCCACTCAATACTTGAACAAGATTCTCGCTACACGAGAAATGCTCTTGGTACTCGAACAGCAACATACTAGCTCCACAATACTGGAAATATCAAGCTGCGCTGCTCAAAACTTCAGCACCCGATGGAAATGCTCACTAGTACTTACAGTACACAGAACTTGCAGGGAGAATTGTGACGTCCCAAGGGCTAAAGCTACATGCTAGCTTATCATTAAGTCCTACGGGACCAGGGGTACCTGCACCGTATGTGACCAACACCAGGCTATCAGCCCAGCCGCCACAAAGGAGGAGGCCCACGAGGGCTGACGCGATCGACCAACGTGGAGATCAAGGCAAACCAAGACGGGTGTATCTGGACGACAGCTAGGATCAATCTATTGCGCATATCATGTAACAAACTAGGAACTCAATCTGTTAGCCCGATCGTCCTATCTGTAACCCTACCTCTCATGTCTATATAAAGGAGGGTAGGGACCTCGGGCTCGGGATCCATCCTCTATCATTCCAATCTACCACATAGCTAGGAGCAACAACCCCTATAATTGAGCATATGAATATAAGAGCAGCCTCACCACTGGAGTAGGGTTTAGTGCACACCGCGCCCGAACTAATATAAATCCTTGTGTCTCGTGTGCTACCATCTGATTCCGTCTACGTGATCACGTTGCTGGATATTACCGAGCAAAATAATCCAACACATATGCAAACAGGTTATATAAAGAGCAATATCACTAAGCATATTGCTCCTAAGTTGTTTTATCCCCATGAATTACAAGAAAGCAGGAAAATAAACATCTTGCAAATCAAGTCATGCGATAAATCTCGCTGACCTATTTACTAAGTCCTTGCCAACATCTATGTTTCAAAAATTTGTACATGAAATTGGTATGCAACAACTCCAGAATTTGCAAGAATCAAGGGGAGACATCTTCTAGATGCTACCTGTACCAGCACCATATTATACTCTTTTGTTTCAAAGGTTCTACTCGCAAGGTTTCTTGTTAAAGTTTTTAATGAGGTAATATTAACATAAGCACGTGTCATATTTTCAATTTTCGCTACCAGGGTTTTTATGGGAAATATCGACACATGTTACTCTCACAACTCATCCATGGTTTTTCTCTGGAAAGGTTTTTCATAAGAATTATCCAAGAGACAATACCAATAATATGTCGTCACATTTTCTCCTAATTTTTCCACTAGGTTTTTACAGGAGTTTTAACGACGTATCATTCTACATTACTCCCCATATTTTTTTCCGAAAGGTTTTTGGAAGAATTATCTTTATGTTATATCTCTAATATTTTTTCCCACTAGAGTTTTTAATAGGATACCAATGACATAGGGATTTGATTAAATCACACATATATATGCTATTTTCTCCTTATTTTTCCAAATAAGGTTTAAAAGAGTTTTTATAGCATATCTATATATACATATTTCTCAGATTTTTCCCATAGGGTTTTTCGAGGAATTTCAGCTTACAGTTGCATTGATCTCAAGAAAGATTCGATCAAGGAGGAGCTACAAAACGGCGTCTGATCCCCAACAGACACCTCTCCATGGTTAGGATTAGGATTAGCAGTTAACCATATGATTAGGTATAGCAGTTAATCTCGTCACCAAGGGGCCTGTCCTTTGGTGAACGGTTGTATGTCTTGGAGACACCCTGTATATAATCCTCTTTACATATCAATGAAAGACAATTCTCTCAATTCATTTGTTCCATTTACATTTCACTTTACCACACATCACTTGGTCGGTTCTGGCAGTAGCTGCAGCAAACCTGCCTTCCATCGCCATCACTGACATGTCGAGGGCGCGCAGCAGCCCTCCGCCCCTCCGTGATACGGTGCTAAGTGATCATGCTGGAAATGTTGCACAACCTGAACCTGTCCACGATGTTCATGATCGAGAACATCACAACGGAAGCCCTCAACACTGTTTTTTTAATCTCAGAACTTACCACTGTATTGTCCTCCTTTGGCCGGGCAACCATCGATGGATTATTGATGGTGATGCTTCCGTCTGCCCATATACTAGAACAACCAGTAGAAATATCATCCGACTTATACACTTCAACCTTCTTCTGAGTTTGACGACACTTCTTTAAATTATCACAAATAATGGTTTACTGGTTTCATGTACAATATAAAAGTACAGTATGTGTAAATATATCACAAGCAAGCACAAACCATGCCATGGTGTAAAACCCTTTAATCAGGATCGGGAGTGACTCGTTTGTTGCATTTAGCTAGCCACCTCAACTGGCTCAGACCCTTTGTCAATCGAGGCTTTCACAGCATCCAAAACCAGCTGCGTCTTCCGGGTGATAGCCGGCCACTTCCCCTCAGGCTTGCCCCCAGCATCCCGGATGCCCTGCACGAGCCTCGTGAATTCCTGGACCATAAGGGCTTCCTGTGGCAGGTCCGTCGCCACGACGTGTTTGCTTGGCAGAGGATCCCACCCAGTGTGGAGATCATTAAAGTTTGACTTCGAAGCCACGTGGAACTCCACCGACTTCTCTTCGTATGGGAGGATAAAGTCAGTGACATGGATAGTTCCATTTGTGCCAACTAAGGTGATGTCCATGGTGAGATTGGCCAGGAAAGAGCAGCTGAAGGTGGCAGTCGTGCCATCTGCCCAGTACAATGTCGCGCCGCACGCAAGAAGCACACCAGCTCGGTTCTTTACAGGGTCACGCAGTGCGATCACAGTCTTGGGCAACTCATAGTCAACAGCCCACAGGATTGCACGGATGCAGTACCACCCAGCATCACCAAGTGCACCCAGGGCATCAAGATCTGGCTTTACTCTGATGTCATTCTCGAGGAAATCTTCGTTTGCTCGAAAGCTGAACACACTGTTAATCTGCGGAAAAAGAAGAAAAAAAACAATGAACAATGATCTTCGTTGACCTACAAAGCTTTGTAGAACAGTAGAGATGAAGTGGAATCAAACAGTTAAAAATGTATTCTTCCACAAATATGTAAAATACTACTATATGTTAACCTATAGCATTTCATACATGTCTTGCAATTCAGATATTAACGTGTGCTAAAAGGTGTAATGACTGCAGCCAACCATTTCACTGCTCTAGTGTGCATATGCATAAATGAAAAATGACATGGATGTAATATCCTATTATTTTCTCAATAGCTGGAATAAAAGAACCAAACTCGATGAATCTCTGGAACTGATAATTTGGATACACGAAAATTTTTATAGGAACTAAAATATGGTGTTTAGCTTTCACAGTTTAAATCTTTCAGAGCGCTCTACTGTCATCTCAATTTATAGATGGACTGGAAGTGGTCCGCTGAGAAAGAATTCAAGCTCAAGTCAGCTTCAACACTTACAGTAATGTTAATATTTGATAATTTACAAGAGATTTTGAAAACCTAAGAACTTTATAAAACTACTAAAACACTATATTTATACTATATAATATATGTTAATATGCAAGCTCAGTTCAGCTTCAACACTTCCAGCAATGTCCATATGTGATAATCTACAAGAGATTTTGAAAACCTTAAAACTTTATAAAACTAAAACATGGCATTTATATAAATATTATGTTATGGTGGGCCAGACCTACCAGAGAAAGAGGAAGGCAAGTGGCTGAGAGAGATCGCGGGCATGCAGGCCGCGTCCGCGCGCGATGCGGGAGTGAGCGCGATAACCGCGCCTTGCTTGAGGTTGTTAGATCAGGAGAGTAAAACTAGGAGTTTGTTTTCATCTTGTAACAAAGGGAGCCTATAAGGCTTAGACAATTCCTTAATGAAGATTTAGCCTGGGATTGAGACACCTCGTCTCCCTTGGGCGTCCAGCACACCGTTCACGGTAACTCCGTAGCGCTGCGTTCGTCGACGCGCCGACCACGGCGCCACCAGTTCGCCGGCGTCCTGTTCGTTCGTTCTCTGCCACTTCTTATCCCTATCGCCTCCGTCCCCTTCCCAGCCGAGTTGGCCGTAACATATTATATGCTAATCTGTGTATGTGTGATGCATCATCTTTGACGAATTGAATATCCTAGCAGGCTGGCACATAAAAGGGTGAATGTCCACTGGATGACTACATTACTCAGTCATAGAACCTATAAAACAAAGCATTAGGTCCATTTGCTAGAGAAAAAAGAAGAGTGGTGAACCACCATGTGGTTATTGTGCTTGTGCGTCCATGTATGTAAAATGGTGCATCCTTGGTTAGACCTTTACTAGGAAGAAGACTTTTTAAGATTTTTTGAGAAGTTCTATATCCCAAATAAGATGGCTATTCTAACTGCTATCAACAAAATATTGTAGTGCTAGTTGGAAGAACTGATCTGCTAACTTGGTCAATAACAGCTTATGGTTGTATCAATACCTTGGAGACAAGAACAAATTAACAAAGTCTAAATTTAAAACAGGATAGTAGTTCCATGTTGCTAGATACGAAATGTCACCATTCCTTCGCCGTACCCAGCATGGCAAGGAGACAATGAAAGGTACCTGAGATATTTTGCTTAGTAGCTCTATCACCATTTTTCTTTATGTCCAGCCCATGCCAATTAATCATGGTTCTGTTGTTGGTTTGTAGCAGAACCCACTTAGGGCCTGTTTCTGTTTGGATGAACCCATTCACTAAAAATACATGTGGTTTGGAGAGACCTGACAAAATACGCCTTAAGGGAATCTCCAATGGTGGGAGTCAGCTGGTGGCTCTTAGATACCATCTCATCCTATATACCACATGTAAAGTGTTCTTTATTCTATATAATCTCTCCTATGATCTATTCAAGAGATAGATAGAGGCTCACATAGAGGTGTATCTTTCATGCATCGGGGCACACAAGAGCCTAGCTCTTTTCCTAACGTTAACTCAAAGGTTTTTGGCCACTGTCTCCTCTACGTGGCACCGAATGCTCGTTTAGAGCTAGTCATTGGAGACACCCTTATATTGATAGATGGAAAGAGTACTAGGTTTGCAGAAATATGGGAAGAGTACTCTCTCAATGTTGTAGTTGGCAGATGGGTTTATTTCAGAAGTCAAACATAGCGGTCACGGCACAAATGGCTCTTCCCATTGTTCCTAGCTTTTTTTATGCTCGTACACTTGCTCCAATAAAATTTTCACTTTTGACTGTTAGTATCTAAATTTTTATTTAGATTGCAACACGATCCCAAGGGTTTCAGCTCATTAGTTGTCGGGTAGCATGGTGGATTTGGAAGCATATAAATTATCGTGTCTTTGAGGGATCTCAGCCCAATCGTAATATTACCTTGCATAATATTAGGGATGAGACCAAGTCGTAGTGTATAGCAGTAGTGTATGGCAGGAACCAAAGGACTGCATAGCTTATGGCCAAGACTGGTTTATTGGTTTTTGGTCATTTCTTTGTTTCTTTTCGGTGTTTTCTACTGTATTGGTCATGATGTCATGCCCTTTTAGGCCCTGTTCGTTTCATCATAGGATCAGAGGGATTGAAAGGGGTTGAGGGGGATTTTGACTTGTAGGGGATTTAATCCCCCTCAATCTCCTGCAGCCACTTGGTTTTGGGATCAAACTAACAAGCCGTTAAGGGGTTTCATGAGCAGTGTTTTCAGATCGACGACTAATCGCGATTAATCGTGATTAGTCGTCCTTATCGTAACTAGGTGCTCGATAAGGGCCCTCGATTAGTTTAGACCGATTAGAAACCTTATCGTCGGATAAGTTGCGACTAATCACGATTAGTCGTCCGATCAGACTAGCCGGACGACTAGTTGGGTAGGGAGAATTCGGCCAGCTAAAGAATTCAGCCCACCTTTAGCTGGCCCATTAGGGTAAGAAGAAGAGAAGTGAGTGAGTGACCTAGTGAAGGAGCTGCAGCCGCCGCACATTTCCAGCTCCCGCTTGGCACATTTCCAACTCCCGCTCTGGCTCTGCTCTCTCTCGCAGCCGCCGGCACCTTCGCCTGTGGCTCTGCCTCTCTGGATCTCCCTCACCGGCGTCCGCAGCTCCGTCAGCGCCCCTCGCCGGCGTCCGCAGCTCCGTCCGCGCCTCTCGCCGGCGTCCACAGCTCCGCCCACGCCTCCACCTCCTCCCGCTCCTGTCTCCTCCCCTGCCAGGACCCAGTAGCTCCACCCGCCTCTGAGGCTCTGTCGCTCTGAGCTCCTTCCTCGACGCCTGGAGGACGGATGCGGGAGGCCTCAAGCATGCATAAGAACAAACAGGGGCTGAGGAGTTTGTTTGTGAGTGAGGAATGGCATTCCAACAGCTTGTCAAAAAGTGCTGAAGGGCGGCAGGCTGAGAACACAATCCTTTCCATACCATTTTGGACAAATGTGGAGTACTGTATAAAAGCAACACAACCCCTTCTCATTGCTATGAGGATAGCAGATGGTGATGAAACACCAGCAGCTCCTGAGATAATGGCAGCAATGGATGTTGCAAAGAAGACCATCAAGGAAACTTTGCGAGACAAATCATCATTACTGAATGATGTAATGGAATGCTATGACAAGAGATGGGAGAACCAGATGGAGCAAAAACTATATGGAGCAGCCCTCTTCTTGAATCCTGGAAAGTACTTTGCCATAAAGGAAAAGGATAGGAGAGAAGCTACAAAGCTAAGGTGCATGTTTAATGACATTATATGCAAGATGGTACCTGATGAGAGTGAAGTGAGGAAAATAAGCAAGCAAGCTGATGATTATGACAGGACTGAGGGTGAATGTTTCTCAAAGAGATTAGCAATAGTAGAGAGAAATAGCAAAAATCCTAGTAAGTATTGAGCAGTTCAGCAGTCAGTGCTTTCTTTTAATTAAGCTATAAATTCTCTATGTGATGAGCTACTGATTATATTATTGTTTTACTTGTAATCTACAACTACAGTTCTATGGTGGGATGCTTTTGGTGGCCTTGCATTCGAGCTACAGAGTTTAGCAAAACGAATTGTAAGCCTCCGCTGTTCAGCGTCTAGTTGTGAGCGCAACTGGAGCGATTTTGCTCATGTAAGTGTAATTTCTATGGCTGCAGGTGCATACTAATGCATTCTTATATGCTGCAGCCATCTAATGAATTTGCTCCTATTTTCTATGGCTGCAGGTGCATACTAGAAAGAGGAACTGTTTGGAGCACATTAGGTTGAATAAGTTGGTATTTGTTAGCTACAACCGTAAGATGACATTCAGGTTTCAGAAAATTCGTGAGCTTGGTTCTAAAGGCAAGAAATCCAACCCATTGCTGCCAGAAGAGTTTTAATAGGAAAATGAATGGATAGACATCAACTGTGACCCAGTTCATGCATCTAATGGCAGTGATATGCTTTGGACACATGTTGATGAAGCTGCTGGTGCAACCGACCAGCTTAGAGGCCGCAATATGCCTAGGGCTGCTGCTGCTCGTGCGAGGAATACTGTCACCCGCACATATGGGAGGAATAACAAAAGGAAGTGTCCAAGTTCAAGGTCAAATGCACCAGCAACTGAAAGCAGTGATCATGAAGAAGAGGAAAATAGAGTTGCACCAGAACAGCCACAAGGTGCAAGTGCAACAGATGAAGAAATGGAGGACCAGGGAGGGGAGAAAGACTCAGGCGGACCGGCAACAAATGATGGAAATGAAGACTTCCATGTGGACGCAGATTTACTTCTCTAGATGGCTGAATTGCTGGTTCTATGGATCAGTGGACTGGATGTTTAGAAATAATTCCATTTTAGACTTAAGAACTTGTTTAAGTTTATTAGTTTACTTATGTTGTGTACTGCTGTGCACAGTGTGCACTGTGCTAAACTGCCGTTAGTTCTTATTTGTTAAATTTGTGTACTTGGTTAAGTTGTTTTGCCATGCTCTACTGTCTACTACTCTTTACATTTTCTTTAGTCTTTACAGTTTTGTTTTTCTGCTATTTTACCTATTTAACTGATTATCTTCATTCTTTGTAATTTCATATTCAGCCACAAGTCAGCAGTCAGCACTCACCATCAGGCATCAGCAAGCAGCAGTTACAGGTAAGTGGCCAAATCACCATGATAATGATTCATTGCAAACATGATTACATGCCAAACTGTGCTTTGTTGCTTGCTTCTAACATTTACCTATTTATTATGGCCATGTTTACATATATTTATATCATATATATAGTATATACATGGTCGATCAGGCCATCTAGGCACAAGGACGACTAAATGTCTGACTAGCCGATTAGACCGATTATGACTGACTAATCAACCCTTATCGACGACTAATCGCGATTAGTCATCTGATCAATGGTCATACGACTAGCCTCGATAATATGATCTGAAAACATTGTTTATGAGTCGCCTAGACAAATTTTCTTCTTCTTAGTATAATGGTAATGATATGCAGCTATCTGCGTGTTCGAAAAAAGTTAACAACATGATATTGGTAGTACTAGACTCATGCTGCAACTTTGATAATGTTACCTCTTTCTATTTAATTTAAGAATATTTTTAATAAATATTAAGAATCAGTGTCAGCCCTTGTACGATGAAAAACTGTAAAAAGATACACTTTACTAGGGAATCCTAACACACACTTCACTAGCAAACAAATTGAGGCTGCTGAACCGTTGAACATTAACGATTGGGAAAAACAAGAATAGTCTTTTCCTCTAGAAATTCAGTAATTGATATTTCCTACGGCTTATTGGTAAAAAGGGGGAAAAAGAATTCCATTTCTTGGTTACTGGTAACAAAGATTGCGTATTTCTAATCCCCATTCGAGTCCCGCAGAAAGGTTTGCATATTGCAAATAACTCACCGTTTTGATGTCGCCGATGGCGTCCTTGTTGTCGACGATCTCCCGCATCTTGGCGGTGCGGGGGTGGTGCATCCACATGGTGGAGTCCATGAACTGGACCCCCGCGGCGTCGCATGCGGCGAGGATGGCGTCGAGGTCGGCGGCGCACAGCGCAGCGGGCTTCTCTAGGAGCACGTGCTTGCCCCTGTTAGTTTCAATCCCGAGCACGATCATGATCATGATGTAAATAGGATTAGTGCATTGGCATGTTTACATTCAGGTTCAGTCGTTCAGTTAGCTGGATATGGCTCAGTCGGTGTAGCGCCAGAACCGTGCTGCGTTCACGGTGCGGCGACTAGGTCTCTCGCCACGCACGGATGTAAAACGGCCCGCGCTTTAGGCGGGCACGTCGCAGCGTGCACGGGCGTGGCGGGGATAGCGGATCTGAGGATCATGTACACCATTCAATAAAGAGAACAAAGCAAGTCGAAAACGGCCACGACAGTGTGCGGCGGAAACACTCTCTCTTTTTGCGTTCTGTGTGTGTGCGTGTTCTGAGAGAACCGAGAGCTCGCCGGCGTTGCCGATCGCCGTCGTGACAGCCATTCCGACACATGGCGTCAACAGCCCCTTGCGGCGGCGGCGGTGGCCCAGCGCACGTGGAGGCTGGTGGGGAGCGGGAGGTAGACGGCGTCCACGTCCGGGTCATCGAGGAGCACCTCGTAGGAGCCGTAGAGGCGGGTGGTGGCGATGTCGAGGCCGTTGTCGGCGGCGAAGAGGCGTGCCTTCTCCTCGGAGCGGCTCCTGACGGCGGCGACGGCTGTGCCGGGCGCGAGCAGCATGGCGCGCGCCAGCTTGCCCGCGATGGAGGCGCAGCCCAGGATGCCGAAGCGCACGGGGCGCGACGGCTGGTCTGGCACCACGACGGACGACATGGGCGGCGGCCGGGTGCTCTTTCGCGTGGGTTTTGGTTGGCGTCTTGGCGCGTCTGGGCTCTCTGCCTCTCTCGGTGCGGTCGTGTGGTTCCGTCCGTGGTGTTTACCGTGTGGTAGGCGATCGCCTTGTGTTCCGCGGCGGATATACGATTTGGGGCCTACTCCGGAGCTTTCGCTTGGAGCCAAGCGAACGCTTCTAGTAGAGTCTGATGTGCGTGGGTTCAGCCTCCACAGCTCCACGTGCTCCGGTGGGGGCGGCCGCAGCAGCGGATGCAGGATGGAAACACACTAAATAATAATAGTTTAGGATTAAGGTTAGAGATTAATGATGATTTAAAGCTAAGTAATCGTAGTCTAATGGAGAAATCAGACTCACTGAGGAGCTAAGTAATCGTAGTCTAATAGGAGTTGACTTTCGGTCGATGGATGCTGATGAAGGAACCAAATTTGAGGATACATTTCCGTGCAAATCCATTTGATTCTTAGCCTTCTTGCTTGCAACAGCCAATGGGTGCAAGGATTTCATTAGCAATTCACGCCCACGGTTCATCGTCGACCACGTAAATTACAAGATGATTCACCTATACATGATGGAGGACCGTAAGCCGTGACCTGTCGCGCGCTGTGGGAGCGCGCGACCTAGCTCCCGTATGCCTTCTTCCTTCCAGTGCGCGTCTTCTTTCTCCCCACTCATGGAACTTCCCTCGTAGCGGTCCCCGTTGGCTGCCCAGCCCCGCCGTCCCCTTCTTGTCCCGCTACTGCTCCTTGTTGTTGCCCTCACCGGTGAACACTGCACCAAAGCTACGAGGGTCAGGGCGCGCAGCCGGGCGCCGCAGAGCCACGCGGCAGCGAGTGCGAACCCCGCCGCGACCGCCAAGAGGGCGAGGTGGTAGATGCCATCGCCCCTCGCAGGAGCAGCGTCGTGAGCACGAGGCCCGGGAGGAGGAGCAGCAGCAAGAGGGTCGTGTCGTCCACGTCCGCGTGACCCGTCGCGTAGAAACTTTTGTAATACATAATCGTGATCTGAATAGAGTGGTACTATATTTTTCCAAATATTTATCTTACTCACAGCGCGTGTTACAGTTACCTCCCACTCCCAGCATGTCTTACGTGTCCTACGCATCCAGAGTTTGTATTTAACGGATTACTAATAGGAAAGATCAAGGTTGACAACCGTGGTCTCGACTATGGATTAATAGGAACGATCTTGGCCGCTCCAGAGAATCAAGGCTCACGTTATCTATCACATTTAGGAAAGATCTCGCTCCGGAGAATCAAGGCTTACGTTATCTATCACTTTTGCTTCCCAACGGAGGTGGAAGAAGTGAAGGCTGAATTGATCTCATCCGTCTTGACCCAACGGTCGAGACGGATCCCTTGACCGCGTCCTGATCGGGGATGTCCAGCCATCTACTGACTGGTGGGCCCCCGTCGCACAGTGCCTATAAAGAGGAGGTGGGGCAAACGGTTCAGGAAACGAGGTTCACCGTTGCCACAGCCCCACTGTCCTAACCCTAATCCGATCCAGAGGGTGGCACTGCCAGCGGCGGGAAATGCCACTACCTCCACCACCGCCGGTCTCCACAGCTACACCAAACGTCGCTGCCCTAGCGCAGATCATCACCGGTGAACCAGCGAAGGCAGGGAGCTCCTCCGACGGTCAGATGCTCCTACATCTCCTTCCCTCTCTCTCAGTCTCCTACTCCCGAAGCAAACTCTAGATCTATGTGTTCGAATGGAAGTCAAAATACCCACTGATCTACTCCTAGTCGATCCAAAAGAGTTAACAATGGTATCAGAGCCATCGATCTAGTGTGTGGATTGTGTTAGGGTAGTAGTGTAGAAGGAGATGAGTTAGATCCGGTTCGGATCAAAAAAAGGAAATACAGAGGGTTCATCGAACCCTAAACCCTAATCGGGTGATAGAAAGAAAAAAGAAAGGGATTCGAATTTGATTCGGATTACCCTAAAGAAATTGGACGGTCCGGGGGAAGTCTTACCAGGGCTTCCCCACCGCCGTCACTACCGCCTCACGCGGGATGGAGCACCCGTCGCCGGCTTGCTGACGCGTGGGAAGAGAATAAAAAGAACAAAAAATATAAGAACGGTTTAGATCCATTCGGATCTAGACAAAGAAAGAAGGATTTCTAAACTCTAACCCTAACTGGGTTAAGGAAAGAAGAAGAACAAAGTGAATCCCTAACCCGAAACCCTAACCCTAGATCCAATCCCCATCCCCAAATCCAAACAAGCAGAAACGCAGAAGGGGAAAGGGATGGCTTACCTCGCCGTCGTGCACGCCGCCGCATGCAGGGGGGGGAAAGAAAGGGCCGGCCGGGGGCACTGCTCGCCGGGATCCGGCCACAGGGGCGCCGTGGCTAGGCCGCTCGACGGGGGCGCGCTCACCCGCTGGGGAACGCGCACGCCGGCGAGGGGGCCGATGACGGCGCCGGGGCTCGCTGCTCCATTGTTTCGCCCACTCGCTCGCTCGGTGACTGCTGTGGCGGCACTAAGGAAAGAAGAGAGAGCGCAGACCGGTGAAGAGAGAGAGAGAGCAGAAGAGAAAATGACTTAGGGTTTTGGATGGAAGCCGGCGTCGACGTTTTTCATTCGTCCGAAGACGCCGCGCAGCCGTTCGATTGGATCCAACGACGCTAGTTGATTGGGCCAGCGTTGTGGCCCAGGTGGGCGAGGGCGCGTGGTCGAATTCCCAGCCTAGGCCCAGGTTGTGGCCTGGGGCGCGGGGGAGAGCGCGGGAGAGGCACCGCAAGCGCCACGCGCTGCTGCTGCTGCTGGGCCGCACGTGCGGGCAGGCCTTCGGGCCGAGCAGGCTTCAGGCCGGCCGGATTACTGCTGCTGCAGGCCGGGCCAGAATGAATAGTAAATAATGTTTTGAAGTCTATTTATTTTCAGAAGCATATTTGAATGAATTTTGATCAATTTGAAGATGTAAATTTCTGGTAAAATTGCACCAACGTGTTAGATTTTCCAGAGAATAGAAAAGTACAGTAAAATGCTTCTGAAAAGTATATAAAGAAATTTTGTCAAGTTTCCGCTGCAAAGTTAAAGATGTTGTCTTCTTATTAAATTCAAACCAACGGGAGAATTTAATTTGAAGAGCAGTTATAGTTATTCAGTAAATGATGAGAAGTTTATCCTCTAGTTAAAATTGAAACCAACTGGAAAATTTTTAATTGGAGGAATAGTCGGTTGATAGTTAAGATAAATTATAATATTGTTATTTTCTGACCAACGTTGATGATAACAATATTATAAGTTTATTTATGAGTTTAAGTTTAAAGTTAAATTATGATATTGTTATTTTCTGACCAACGTTGATGATAACAATATTATAATTTTATGAGTTTTATGATTAAAGTTTAAATCTCTGATGAATTTTGCATCAAAGTGACCAATTTTTAGAGAATAGATAAAGATCAAGGAATGCTCTTAAACTAGAGAAATGTATTTTCATGTTTCCGCTGCAATGAAGTTGATTGTCTTCTAATTAAATTCGAACCAACGGGAGAATTTAATTTTGAGGAACAGTTCTATGTTTTCAAGATTATTGAATTTCTATACGTTAATTCCATTTCTGCCTAACAGTGATGTGAAATTAATATAGAAGAATGATGTTTTATTCTATTTCTGCCCAACGGTGATATAGAATAGAACATAAAGATTTCAAAGTTAAATGAGCATTATTATTGAATATTTTTTTAGACAAAAGACCTCCATGCTTTCATTCTTGAAGGCAATAAGAGAAATGAGCTGGGTACTTATGACTCAGATGATGAAATGCCTAAGGGCAAGTTATGTATGAAAGAATGCCATTGTTTAAGAGACTATGTTCTCTTTAAAGAATGGCTTTAAAAGAAAAGAATTCTAGGATATTAATCCAAGAAAAGAGATAGATCAATGAGAGTCTTCATTGAGAAATGTCTTTTATGTACTCTCTGTGAAAAAGAATTTATTTTTAGTTTTACTTATGAGAGTTGTAAAAGTCATATACATGTTTAATTTGACTAACCTTGGATTACACATATGTGTTAAAGAATATTCGGATTTATTTCTGAATTTGATGATTGAACACGAGCCAATCTTGGCAATTATGTCTGTTCAAGAGAATTATCTCGCATGGCGGGAAAAAATTGTGATAGTACCCGCATGGCGGGAAAAGTTTGAGAAAATACCCGCATGGCGGAGTAAAGTTGGCATAGTACATATGTTAACCAATCCTGCATGGCGGGAGAGATTTGGCATAGTACTTATCCTGCATGGCGGGAGGAGGATGTGATGATTCATGTGCTCTAAAGAAATATCCCGCACATGGGGAGAAGTTTGGGATAGCTCTTATGCTATTCTAGTATTTACCGTACACTCTGATTGTGTCATGGTCATAAGTACTCAATGAGTTTAAGAACAAAAGAAAGTTGCATGTGAACCAAAAGATAAGAATGATATGCAAGTGTGACTTGTAGAAGTATTGATAATAATAGACTATGTTGAGTTTTGAAGTGTAATGAGAAAAATGTACTTCCATACGAATTTTGTTTGCATGATGTAATCATGTGGATGAAGTAAGTAATCAAAGTTTCCTCATTCACAAGAGTTCTGAATGTTTCGAAATTGTGGTAGAAAAGTTCATACCACATTTCGAGGGGGAGAAATGTAAGATTAATTAAGAAAGACAATTAAGAAAAATACTTCCCCCCATACTTCAGATAATGCAATGCATACTATGCATTGAAGGTAAAAGTGATCTATAAAAGATGAATGTGATCATTAAGGGAGTTAGACGGTCATAATAACGATACCCCTAAAGTAAAGAAATAGCTAAATTCCTGGACTTTTTATAGTTCCGATGAGAAGATAGCATAGTTGGCTAGTATTCATACTGGACGAGTTCAGAGTTATCAATGCGGTGCTAAATGCATCGTATGAGTTTTTAGCAGATTAAACCCAAAATAAGAAATTTGAAGATACACCATCTTTACAGA